TTTAGAAAATCACATGCACATTATTGCAGTGATTTTTTATGTATTAGTTTTAAAAAATTTCTTAAATGAGTATTTTTCCGTAATTTAAAATATAGATTGATTTACATTTAAATATATAAAATGTGATAGATTATGATGTTGAACCAATATTTTTATTAAGCCAATAAGTTAAAAAAGTTAATATAATTAACCACATCCAAAGTATCCTTCCCAAATTCCCAATTATTTACCCAGCCATAACCCATCATCCAAAACGAAATCACCCCATCACTAATCTTCAGCCACGCCGCCACCGCATCCCCCTTCCGGCATCGACCGCACACCATCGCCGCCAACCACACACCGCCTTTGTCCTTCGCCTCCCATCCCCCACCAAAATAACACGAGCCTTAATCCAGTCGGATTTGTACCATCCTTCGTGATTCTAAGCAACACCGCCGCACTAGGTCCACTCCCGCCGTCGACCAGTCAAACGTTACCGCATCAATGACGAAAATAAAGGAAATAGTTCTAGAGCCCTTGGTGAAGCCCAAGCCAAAGAGAACCAATTTCATACAAGTTTCGTGTGTCCTTAGGAAAGTTTTCAATTTCAAAACGCCAAGCTCTTTCGATCTAGCAGCGACTCCTTATGGTAATTCATCAGGGGGACATGTTTTACAGGCCTACTTTTTGTTAATCCGATGTCCATGTCTCTAGATCCAATTTCAAAGTTAATAAATTATTGAGATGTAGATCATAAGTGCTTTGCATTTTCTAGCGAGGATGAGTGAGTTTTGACATATAGGATTTTAGTAGGTTTTATGGGTGCCATATGGTTTTGATAGGGCCCCTATATGGTTAGAGAAAGGTGATTATTATTATGGGTATGTTGATGTGTTTCGGAGAAGTATGGATTGATAAGGGATGATGTAAAACCTATAAAAGATAGTGATTTGAAAGATCTACTGGAAGGTGAAAAATTAGTGAGGAAGGTAGATTATTGGAAAGTCTATGTGATGTATTGTATATGCTCTTTTTTAGCTGCTGGTTCAAATGCCCAAATAAGCCATTGTTACTTTGAATTCTTAAAAACCGAGAAAATAGCCAGTGATTACACCTGGGCTGTTTTTTTCAATGACAAGTTGATCGAGGGGATAAAGTCGACCCATGAAAAGATGCTAGCAAATGACATGAAGAACGTGAGACCTAGTGGCGACATGCACACTCTTGTAGTAGTTTATTTTTTTGTTGATAGACAATTATATTTTTTTGGTTGATATTCAATTATATTTATTGTGATTTAATTTATATTATCCAATTCAGTTGTAGCATATGTTTTTGACATGATCAATAAAACAACATTTTGTTGGCCACTTTTACACGTGCTCACATCAAAGAATGTTGTCCGTAGATGAGATTTGCAAGTTTTTGGGCTCATCCGAACCTTCCATTCAAAAGGTTGTTTTAATATATCAATACCTTTAACGTGTTGTATTCAATGATATGTTATAATTTTTTTTGTTGCTTATGATCCATTCAATATGGTGTCAATTTTGTATCATATTTATTTATTTTTAAGGTGAACCCATAAAAGAAGTGAGCAAAAGCAAGGGATGGTATGACATGGAAATTGCAAGTGTGATACCCCCGGAGTTGGGCCGTTATTTGGCCAACTCCAATGTGTGGATGAGCCGGTATTAGGCTACCCACAGTTAAATAGAGATTAACTGGATCGAATAGACTACTCACGTAAACAATGTGCACATTTCTTTTCGAGAGTCCTACAGAAATAACACTAGAGTTAAGTGGGTCTTCTTTGACGATCCTCCAAAACGAGATGAATGTGGCTTTGTTGTCTACAACGACAACGACCGACCGCTGTTCAAATTTGATGTGAGCTTTCGTCTCTCAGTGTCAGTGTCGGCCCAGCAGATGCAGTCATCGATTCTCCCGCAAGTTGGCTCCATTTTATTTGTTTAATCCTTACAGGCCTCTTGAATCCTCTCTTCGCCCGCCCACTGCTACTAAATCACCACCCCCCCAGGTTAAACTAAGTTTACCTGTCTGAGCTATCTATTCTTACTAGAATTCCTATGGTTAAAAAGAGAAATCCTAGACTAATAACGGACCTTTTGTCGAACAATAAAATTGAGCAGCTAAACCCCTTTTAATGTCTTTTTGAGCAAGAGCTAAAAACCTTAAAATTTTGGAGCGACATCTCCAACACTATAATAGATATGTGGGCTTGAGCATGAAACACCTGAAAATGATTTGGATGATATTGTTGCAATACGCCATTAATCATACATGGAGGATGACTAGATGGATGCACTGAAGGCTGACTATATGATTGAATGCTTAAATTTTTTATAGCAGGGTTTGTTTCCTTTGATGCAAATATTTGTTGTTCATCACACATTATGCCCAATTAATGATATCAATCACATACATTGTTCCTAGAATATTTTAATTCTACGAACATCATTTTATCAGTCTTGTTACATCAGTTTAAATTTGTTTCGTCATTGTTTGATTTACTCTTCTCGAATACCATAATTTGAATACCTTGTATGTGATTGCAATATTTTTTTCCGTACTTCCATGCAAATCATTGGATATTGTTTGCAGTATCGGTGGTTAAGAAAAAAATCTTCTACTTTAATCGCTTGAATCAGAGAAATGTATGTGAGAGTGACTCGGTCTTGTTCAAAGTTGTTTTCATACTTCAAACGAGCAGGAGTTTCGTTATATTCAAACCGGCAATGGGATGGTGAATATAGCGTTGAACTTCCTCCTCATATACCGTAGCCAGATATCAGCATCGGGTGTTTCTCTACTGCAGAGAAACCCCCCATCGACAATTTAAATTAAAATAAAAATAAAAATAGTGAGGTGGAAAGTATCTGCAGCAGACTGCTGGTTAGGCAACTCAGGAGAACTTTTTGTTATTTTTTTAAAAAATATTATTTATTAAATTATTTGTTTTTTTTTTATATATTTTTGTATTATATAAAATTTTATTCTCTACAAAATGATATATATTAATATAATTTTATTTAAATTTAATAATACTATTAATTATTTTAATATAAATTAAAAAATATATATTTTTTGTAGTGAGATGGAAGAAAGAGAGTGAAATAAAAAAAAAAATAGTATGAGTTGGAAATTGAAAGAAACTTTTAGAGAGTTTCTTTGATGCGAATCGTCTTACTATATTCTAAATAGAGCACTGGTCATGCGAAATCTCTCCGGCTATCTGTGAACAAATGTGCAGAGTGACGTATTAGACATGTAGAAGAAACAAATTTATGCTAATCTACTTTTACAACCAGAGAACACAATTGGTCAGTATGTTACGAAAAAAGAAAAATCATATGCAAATCTTTTTTATCCATCTTTCAAGTTCTAATTCACAAGTATATTTTCTCTAACCGATTAATGTCGGTAATGAGCGTACTATTTTTTTTTTTTTTCTTTTTGTGATGAAAAAAAATATTCAAATAATTTATTATAACCACAAAATGAAGAAATATTACATATATCTTTCTTAATTTATACATGAATTTATATTTGCCTTAGTTATTATATAATATAAATTACTTATCAACCTCTATTGATAATTTTGAGAGTTCAACTATAAACAAATCCTATGATTATAAATGTTTCATGATGAACTCGAAGGCATGAACGAAACTAGTATAAGGCTTGGAGAGCCACTTGACCTGAGTTCAAAATAATATAATTTTAATATAAAAATTAAAATTTTTTTAAACTAAATATATATATTTGTTATTCCAATTCATATCTATTATTTTATTTTATTATTTTAATTTTATAATAATCTATAATATTTTTAATTATAAATATATTATACATAGAAAATACAAATTTTGTTCTTCTAAATAATTTCTTTTATTGATATAATTTTCTTTATAATATAATAAAAATTATATTCTTTCACAAAAATTTAACATTAAATATTAAATATAATATTTTTTTATTTTAAAATCTTCTATGTCTCAAAAAAATATATATATATATTTCAAGTTAAAATATTAAATAAACATATTCATAATTTTTTTATTTAAAATATTAATTCTATATTATCTTTCATTTTTTTTTCCTCATTTATTTTTTCCCTCACCCCACTATATTATAAAGGAATATCGAAAATGGTACATCGAATCAGTGAGAGTGAACCGATGACTAAGATTTTTCAAAAAAACACTTTGGAAGTGCTTTGGGCGTGAGCCCATACCAGAGTTGTTCGAATCATACATCTAGGGGTGAACAAAATATTCAAAATCCGAAAATCTAATTCGAACCAAATCGAAATTTAAAATTTGGTTCGAATTTTTCGAATTTTCGGATTGAATTTTTAACAAATTTTGAATTTTCGGATTAGATCGATATATTTAAAATCCGAACCAATCCGAAATCCAAAATATAATATTTTAATAATTTTTTATTATATATATTTAATATTTTATTAAAAAATATTATATTTTAATATAAAAAACTCAAATTTATTAATTATATTTTAATATATTTAATTTTTATATATTATATATATTTAATATTATAAAATAATAATACTCCCTCCGCCCCATATACCATGTCTGCTACACCGTAGATACGGTATTTTATAAAGGATGTAATTAATAGATAATTAAGAATGTATTAGTGAAAATAATTATTCTATAATATAACTAATTATAAATTAAAATTAAGATAACTAATTAGTTTAATTAAAATTTAAAAAAAATTAAAAAATTTAAAATGAGATTAAAGTGTGTAATCATTTTCTAAAAAATGAAAGTGACATGGTATGTAGGACGGACATAAACGGCAACGTGGACATGGTATCTGGGACGGAGGGAGTAAAATATTTAGAATTTCGGATTTTTCGGTTTGGTTCAGATTTTTTTTAGTTCAGATTTCGGTTATTCACTACAAGAAAATATCATTTTTGTAACGAGATTTTTTCGTCTTTAAATCCATTTTTTCCGTTACTAATGATATTAGAGATGAAATTAATGATGAAATTACATTAGCTATGTGATCTTTAGGGACGAAATTCCGTTACAAATATACTATTTTTTTTAGTGATTTCGGTTCGGTTCGGTTCAGATTGATTTTTGTAAAATTCGAACCGAAAATCCGAATGTTCACCCTAAGTACATCGGTAAATCTATATTAGAAGTACAAACGGATTTTTCCATTAATTACTAGTATAAGACGATAGAAAATCGATCATCTTCTAAGTTCCAATCTCAAGTCAACGAGTGAAAGCATAGACAACAGTACACACATAGATGAGCAGCCCAGACGGGACCAGAATCACCAGCGGCACCACGGCGGCGTAGCCATGGCCGCCGCCGCAGCCCAGCATCCCCAGCTTGATCTGCACCACATTCACCAACGCCAGCATCAAGAACACCGACCCGCACACAGAACCGGCCGCCGACACCATGTAGCTGACCCGGAGGAAGGTCCGGTTCACGTGGGCTAGATCGAAGTTGTTCCACACCACCCGGCGGTCGGCGGCGGCGCCATTCCGGCGGGCGAGGCGGATGGCCTGCTTGAGGCCCATGGCGATGAGGCTGGAGAACAAAAAGCAGCTGAAGGAGTAGACGTGGAAGGCGACGAGATTCTCAGCGACGCCCGGGCCGGGAAGGCAGGCGGTCTGGTGCTGGGCCGGGTCGATGAGGCTGTTGTTGGGGTCGGTGGGGTTCCAGGCGAGGCCGATGAAGACGGCGAGGGTGAAGAGGGAGTTGACGTTGACGATCCCGTCGAGGGCCGTGATGTGGATGCCCGTCGCCGACATTCTCCTATTTAATTTACACAGGTGGTGGTCGGAGAGGAGAAGGGGATGGATCCGGATCCGATTCCGATTGGGGTTGGGGTTGGGGATGGTGGCGGAGATTGCACGCATCAATCAATTAGTTAATTAATTAGGGTGTGTTTGTTTGGACCAAATATACTATTTATCCAATTTTTTATTTTTATATTATATTAAAAATTAATTTTACATTCAAAATACTCCTTCCGTGCGTCAAGTGGTATAAAATAGAATGTAACATACTAAAATGTCCTTTATTTTTTTAAGGATTTTAAAAAATATGTTAGAGTAATAATTATGGGTAGTATAGAAAAGTAAGAATAATTTTGTTATAAAGTGGGACAGCAGCTACTAAATAAGGAAACAAGATAATTGTTTTGGGACTGACCAAAATAAAAAAATAAGACAAATTTTTTGGGAAGGAAAGAGTATTACATCAGCATTTATTTATATCACATTATATAATTATTCAAATTCAAAATATGTATCATTCAAATTTCAATCCAAAATCCAAATCTACAAACAAACACGTAATAAAGGGAAAGAGAAAAAGGAAAAGGAAATGGAAGAAACATAACACCTTTTTCGGTTTTGGGAAATTGCTTGTTTGTTTGTTGGTATGGGATTTGGGTCGATTATAATAAGCCCATGAATTGTGGGTTCTACTCTGGGCTTCCACAATTTTGTGCTTCATTGTACCAATTGTAGTTACTGTTGTTTTTCAATTTTGTCTTTTTTTAATTTTTTTTTAATTTTTTTATTTAATATTCTATTTTTATCCACTTTTAATGTAATTTTTTGTTATTTTGTTTTACGCAAATTTTAGAATATTAGATATTTTTACGATAAATTATATAATACTTTTTTGTATTTTTAGTAAAAATGCACATAATACTTTTTGTTTTATTTATTACATAAAACCTCATATGTTGATATAAAGTTTGCATGAAATACTTTTTTTTTTGTTCAAATCGATGTTTGAAACTAAATAAAGACTTAAACTACGTTATTTTATATAAATAAAAAAAGTAAATAGCATAAATAATTTTTTTGAATAAAATAAATAATTGATTAATTATTTACTTTATAATGTTTTTTAGACATATTGTTATCTGATTTTTACAAAAATTATAAAAATAAATTATTGATCAATTGTATTTATAAAATTTGCATAATTTTAGTCTTTATTTAGAACCAAACATTAGTTTTTGGACAAAGAGGGTGTTCGTACAATAAATATAACACGATATATTTTTGTACATTTTTACTAAAACACTAGGAGAGGTGTAAATATAATTTACCCTATTTTTTATTTAAATAAAATTTATAATTATTTGAAAAATAAATAAATATTTTCTGTATCATCAAATTGTGTGCTCATTTAATTGAAACACATATTTTAAGAAAAATAACTGATAATAAAAATTTACTTTTTAAGCTAAAATAATAGAAAAAAAAAATTTATTTTAAAAATAATAAAAATAAATTTAAATGACAAAAAATATAAAAATAAATTTGAATAAAAAAAAATTATAGATTACTAACAAAAAGAAATGAAGACGAAAATAAGAAGATCATGGATGAAAGAGTCAAAAAGAAAATAACTGTATCAAAAAGATCGATTAATTAGTTTAACCTAATAGAAAATATTTTAATAAATTAGTATTTAACTGATTTGACTAATGTCAAATATTTTAAAAATTACTATAAAATATAATAATAAAAATATATATTAAATTTATTTATTTACTTATTATTAATATTATTATTAATAGAAAACACGTGCCATGGTTTTTTTATATTTTTTTTTATCCGTTAAATTTTTAAATATTTTTATTAAATTTAATTTAGGTATAATTGGATTTAAATCTCTATTTGTTCAAAAAAAAATTTAGATTCAATTCCTATTTGATATAATTTAGACGGTATTTCCTTCTTTTTCATATTGTTTGTTTTTTCCTCCTTTTCCACCCTTCTTCTCCACCCAACGAAGATGAAATCTCTGCAATTATTTTCCAATCGCGAAATTGGTGAAGAAACACCGATGACTACAAAATCGAACTTACTGTGTGGTCGCTCACACTTTTTCGATCTTTGACACCCATTCATTTCCCGATTGTCGATCTCGAACGCCCATCGCTCCGCGCCCAAATCGACAGACCTCATAATTTTTTAAGTTTAGTAACTCTATTTGGAACGAGTAGATTTTCGATTAGAGGTAAAATCAGGGTATTTTGTGGAAAATTATAATGCCCTACTTGATGATGTTTACTCATATTTAACAAATTTTCAAACATAGCCATCTGTAAATATATTCAAACCCTATTTGTAAATATTTGGTTTTACAGGCAATTGGATATTGTAAATTGTGTGGATAATAACTCATTTTCATATATTAACTAAAATCATGAGTGTCATCTTCAAGCAGATGTAGTTCATTTCCTGTGTTGAATATGCCCGCTTGATGAGAGGTTCTCATCAATTTGTTTTTATATTGTTCCAATCAATGTACTAATCTTCATGTTTCGTCTGTGTAACCTGGTCGACTAAAGAAACAACGTTATATTCCCAACATATAAAGCAATCACGAAAATGCTATCGTTGTGGTCGTCTCGGGCACAACAGAAAAAGCTGTAAAGATCGGTTTCCGTATTCCTTTTTGTAATTTTTGATTTTTTCAAGGATGTCTCATTTGGCGTGTAATTACTTTTGGTGTGCTTGATATAATGATATATTTTACTTAATTATACAACAACAAGACCTCATTTTTATAGAACCGCGGTTGTAATTTGGATGTATTGTGGTACATGAATACGAACAACGGGTATTTAACACTCTCTTTTTGTGTATGATAATTCAATAACATATGTATCATGAAACATAACAGAGGCATACGGGTTATCTGGGGGGTATTTAGTTGCCCTCTCGAAGCACAGTGACATTTTTTGGTATTATTGTCCTATACACAATTGATTGTAATTTGTATGAAGAAAACGGAGCACATTATGTTGTATCCATTAGACGCATGCACAATTGATTGTAATTGGTACACTAAAGGGAACGGTAGAATGGACTGACGTACATAGACACGAACAATGTGTTCGAAATAGTGCTCATTTTTTTATGATACTTGAAGCCAACGATTTCTGACAACGTATCAGAGTCACACAACTCATTTTTATATTAACTTTTTCAATTGGCGTATCGAAACACGTTGGCATAGTAGCTTAGGTACCAACGTATGAAGGTCACTTTCGGTCGTATGCTAAATCCTCACAAATATTAAAAAGAGCTATAAAGGTACGAAGTTAGGAAATCGTGTCATGAGATTAGATTTTTTAGTTACATAAAGCACTATAGTAGGTACACACCTAGTAGAACTTCATACACGAAGCCAGATTAGGGGTATAGCACATCCGATCTGGAGAACTCACTTGCTTAACCGAGTCAGACCCTATGTTTAGATGCCCATGACCGAAAATTATTGTGTGCGAATGATCTGGGTTAATATTTAATCGGTCTAAAAATTTTCTATTTGTGGCAGAAATAGTGTACTATAACAATCAACATAATTCAACTTAGTTATTTATAACTTGGTTAGACATCTACAAGTGAAGGTTGAACTATGATAATACATATATATCATACAATCTAACTAAGTCAAGCCTGACTTGTTTAACCATCTATAACGAATACGTGTTGTTTACCTATTCTGACAATTCGAAGTTTCTCAAGAAGACTACTATGATGAACTCATCTCTAAATACCGTCGGCAAGTAAAAATTTCGAAGCGAAAACGGTCCTACCCTAACCACGGGTTACCAGGGCATATAAACACTTTACGGAAGCATATGAGACCATAATTATTAGTAGTTAATATTAGTCCTAGGGTATGTGGCTATTTTATACAGGTACGTGAGAATGTGATAGGGGTACAAACACCGACATGCGAGGTATAAATAATGGTTCCTTGGGTATTATGTATGTAGTACCAGGTATCCTCAAGTGTAGGTGATTTCAGTCATTGCCACACATAAGGGCCAATTCGCGTACTCGGTGAGAGCATTTCCTCTCTCAGTGTTTGTGGACCGAATGTTGTTGTGTGTTCTACGGTTTGGATTATTACATAATAGGTCTAAAAAAAAATCAATCCGCGGGAGTAATGATGCATGAGTAACAAACTACATAACTTAGCCATGTCATTTCTGACTTGTTTAGCCATCCATAGTAAAAATATGTTCTTTTTCTTCACTTACAGTTCGACGTATACGCAGAAACACAAGAATGATGAATTTATTCCTGGTTATCAAGAGCAATTCAATATTTTGAATCAAGCATGGTCTATTTCCCAATCATAGATAACCAGCGTATAAATATGCTTCAGCGGAGCATATAACTTCATGTTGCAGGTACGTAAAGACTATACTAGAGTATATCCGTTGTGCACGTATGTAACAATATTCTCGGGGTACAAACACCAATATCGTAAGTATGATTGGTGGTTACTTAATTATTATATGTATAGCTACAAGTATCCTTCAATGTGGTCGATAACAGTCAATCCTCCGACAATTGAGACAATTAAGGAACTCCGTGGGAACACTCCCTCTAACAATAGGGGTATGTGCATGAGTGCTAAGTCGGTATACATGTTGTTACTAAAAGTATTCGTTGGCAATCAGTCTAATATATTAATCATGTCTAAAAAATTTATGCACAGATAGGATCAATCATAACATGGCCAAATAATCACTGTAAATTACATACAAGTGATATATGTAGGTCATCAACGTACCACAGAAGAAAAATAGGGACATGATAGTTTGTCGTCATGAATAAAATATTGCAAAAACCAAACAAAATAAATACGCGAGCAACATTAGAAACAACTAGAGGCTCCAGCCCTTGTGCTAGAGTCTCTTTCAACTTCTTTAAAACGTCGGACCGAGGTAGGGAGGGTGGCTTCCCTCCAAAAATACGGACGAAGCTCTTGCTATGAACCATGGCATTATCCTTAACGTACACTCAATGAAAATGTAATCCAAGCACCACTGAAAACTACACTACAAAAAATAGCAACTCCATGTCCATGCTAATATTAAAGGCCATGTTGTCCGGCTAATAACTATTGACCAAAGTCAGTAATCGATGCCATGGGAATCTCAT